AGTTCCAGATAAAGACCACCAAAACATCAGCACGACTTCCTCAGCTCTAAATAACTGTTTTGCTGTTCCAACTGTTGTGTATTTAGTTCAACTGTTGCATGTCCATGTTCACTGGTGTGTTTAGAGTGCACCACTACAAGCACAGTTGCTTGAAAATAAAGTAATTTGTCAGAATTGTACTTCATCGCTGACATTTACAGGTCATTTTCAAATGTTCCTTTTTTTTACCTTCTCTCACCTGACGCCTCTACAGTAACATATTCAGCCTTGATCTAAATTCTACCTTGAATTCAAATCTACCAATTCAAATCTCAGCAGAAATTGAGAGCTACAGTGGAACCCGACGTGGTCTTCTGCTGTTGTAGCCCATCCACCTCAAGGTTCAACATGTTGTGCAGTCTGAGATGCTTTTCTGCTCACCACAGTTGTACAGAGTGGTTATCTGAGTTAGTGTAGCCTTTCTGTCAGCTCGAACCAGTCTAGCCATTCTCTGTTGACCTCTCTCATCAACAAGGCATTTCCATCTGCAGAACTGCTGCTCACTGGATGTTTTTTCTTTTTTGAAAGATTCTGAGTGAACTCTAGAAACTGTTGTGTGTGGGTGTCTAGATAATCTACTGGGCGATCCAAATAAAGTGGGACTGAAACTGCTCTTATGGACTGGTTTTCAACCAGTTCATAACAAAAAAATGAGAAAGCTAGCTGGATCCCTGACGACATTAGCCTGAAATGTCAGCTGCCAAAGAAAAGTAAAAGGCCCCAGCTATCCATGTTGGAAAGCTTTTTAAATGAGACCAAGCACCTGCATGCTGGTGTGTCCCACTAGCAAAACAAGTGAATGCTTCATCTCCCAGTTTCGCCTGCTACAATCTCATGGCAGGACAAATCAGATAGTCCAGAGGGTCATAACACTGCCAACTGTTCTAATTTAATTTTGTGTAAGGACCAGTATTGCACATAAGTTGCCACATCCAAAGTTTGTTGTAAAAGGCTGCATATTCAATAGTTTGGGTGGCACACAATGTGATCAACCTGTACATAGTGTTGAAATTACTTTAATGTAGAAAAAAAAGAACACCCAAGTATATGTGATGAACTTTTTACTTTAATATACATGATCCTATTTAAATATTAATACTTTCTGAGTTTCACTCAATTATATATTTAACTCCATACTTCCACTTTTAATGAATTAAGATTTTGACACTGTACCCATCACTTAAGCTGGCAGTAAATATTAAACAATGAAATAACTAAACAAAAAAACTACCGCTGTTTGAAATCTACCTAAAACTGAATCCAGTGTCCACTTAGCACTGCTAGAAGCCCACTCTGTGCAGTCAGTCAATTAAGGGGAGGTCTCAGAGCGAATGACATGGCGATTAAAACCATTCACAGACAGGGAGCGGTTCTCAGCACGAATTATTCTGTACACTTAAAAAAAGATGGGTCTTCAAGGGTTCTTAGTAAAGGGAATAGTTCTGTTTGGAACCATCAGCTCTATATGGAAACATTTCATGCTTAAGTGGTTCTTGGTATGGTGAAATGGTTCTTTAGATTGATGGCGAATGTGTTTTATATGGTTCTACATTAACATTTGAAAACGATATCAATATATACAACCATTTTCAAAAAGGTTCTATATAGAACCATATACAACATATTCTCCATCAATCTGAAGAACCATTTCACCATGCAAAGAATGCTTTAAGCATGAAATGGTTCTAGTTAATACTGTAGTCAAATGTATTCATCCCTGCTCCGCCCATTTGGTCTCTTGAGAACTTTTTTTTCCTAACCACCGTCCCTTAGGGGCTCCATACTTCTTCACTCTCTGTAATTTACTGTATATCGACAATGATCCTGATTGATGTGTCAGAAATCGTTTCGGTTTGAAATATCGAAAATTCGATTAAACCGCAGGAACCGGCAGTGGTGTCAGTCACCAGCGGAGCATCGATCTCATCACATTTCATCTCTCTTTCTCTCCCTCCCTTCCTGTCTCTTTTTCTTCTCTCTCTCTCTCTCTCGCACGTAAGTGAGCGAAAGCGAAAGGGAACGGGCAGCAGAGTCTCCCTCCTGCTTTTCTTAATCCGTGGCCGCAGCGAGAGAGAGAGAGAGAGATAGAGAGAGGGAGGGAGGGAGGGAGGAGGAGAATAGTGAATAGCTCCCCGCATCATTCCAGATGGCTGCCTTTGAATCAGCAGCGGGCAGGGATGGGAGCAGGCTCGCCGCTTCAGCCACTTGAATCGCCTTCGCTCTGAGCCCGCTGCTCCGGGGAGAGAGAGAGAGGCAGGCCAGGCGCGGAGGTCTCCCCGGCCGGAAGCGCTTCACACACGGCTTGGGGTAAGTGCGCGTGCCGCGGGGCTGCTAACGCTCCGCCCGGAGCGCATCACTTCTCCCTCCGTTTAGCTCCGCCGTGTAACTTTGCGGGAGGCTCGAGGGCTCGAGGGCTCGGCTCCGGCGCTGTGTTTCTGTTTGAATCCCCCTTCTTTCCTCTTTTTTCCTGTCCGCTGTAAAAAGGCACGAGAGGTGCGATGTTCTGGAATGTCATGCTGCTCTCGCGGAAAAAAAGATGCTCGCGCTCCAATTCAAAGCCGCTGTTCTTTAACGGTCGTGACGGATTTTGACGGTTTTATGCGTTTTCAAATCGCAGTTTTCGGTCTGTTCAAAGGACGCGGAGCGGCTGTGACTGCGCGAGCGGTCCATTGGCCGCGATAGTTTGAGAAACACGCCTATCGGTCGACCTTATAGGCTGACAGACGCTCAGGGCGCCATTTCTCAGTCAAAAAGTGCCGTGTCTGAGGAAAACACCGAACGAAAGAGTCTCCGCGTTCAGTCGGAGGAGCGACATGACCGACTTTCTCTCTCAGCCGTACCTCAGCGCTGCGGAACGGAGCCGCCGCTCAGTCGGTCAGTCAGAGAAACTTTTCTCTCCACAGTTGGTCCCTCGGCTCAGACCCGGCATTGTTTTCTCTTTTCGAGCTCCAGAAACGGCTCTGTGGGGATTTTGTTCGGAGCCGAAAGCCCTCCGTGACTGACATCCTTTAAGTGGCGATTAATAAAAGTTCATTTAGCCTACAGCTTCGTAGGAGGGCAGCGTTCATCTCTCTGACAGGCTAGTGATGGGGAGTCGATTCCTAAAGAGTCGATTCTTTGACTCCAGCACGTCTCAGTGACTCAGAGAATCGAAATGCTGGGAGTCGACTCTAAGTGTTTTTTCATTGCAATTGGCTCAAATGACATTTGTTGAAAGATTAATTAGCTGTAATCATTTGTCAGAACTATTTGATATTACTTGATATGATTTACGAATTGTCCTCGTGTGACTGTAATCTGTAGCTGCTCAGAAAAAATGGGTAAACTACGTTTAAGGTGGTTTAACATCTGTTTTATTCCTTTATCAGCGCGGTCTTGGTCTTACATTAAGTAGAGCCGAAGAGTCGACTCCATCGATTCCAGCGGCAGGAGTCGAGAGTCGGACTCGTGCATCACTTTGACAGGATTCTGCTAGGCGCCGCCTCGCGGGAGAAAGACGGTCGGTGGCGCGCGCGCTGCAGCTCTAGGTACACGCCAGTAACGATTTGGAGAAGAAAACAACAAAGACGAAAAAAGACAGTAGCTAATGTGTGTCAGAGCAAAGGGTAGGAAAGAAAGAAAGATGAGAGAGAGGAGGGGAAAGGATGGGAGACAGAAAAAGACAGGAAATAGAGTGAAATATGGGAAAAGGAGAAAGATAAAAAGGACGGAAAGAGACTAGAATCAAACAGGAAGATAAGAGGGATGGGAAACAACGAAACAAAGATGGGAACGACAAAGGAAGATGCCCTATTAAAAATAAAGGTTCCTAAATGGTTTCTGCCTGGCCACATGGTTCTAGTAAAAAAAATAATGAACTTTAATCAGCATAGAACCTTTACATTACGAGGAGGTTTTTAAAACTGAAGTCTCGTTTACAAAAGAAACATCCATTGAAAGGTTATTTAGGGAACCGAAAGGGGTTCTTTTGTGTCGCTGCGCCCTTTGTTTAAAAGTGTGGGAAAGGGAAGAGCAACAGTGTGAAAGACGGGAAGAGAAAGATGGGAAACGGAAGAGAAATTTGGACAGAAGAAGGTGGGAAACAGGGAAAAAGAGAAGCAAAAAGGGAAAAAATGGAAAGTAAAACATAGAAATGTGGAAAAGACAGAAAGAAAACCTGGTGAAAAATGCACAACCTTTGGTTGGTGTGCGGTATTCCGAAGTCCATGTTGCTGGACATTGAACCAAAGTCAAAAACCTTTCGAGGTCTATTGAATGTGAGATGGTCAAGTTGTATAATGTAACATGCTTCAGAATAACATAAGTGGTAAGACATATACAAAAATAAGTGAGAGAACAGTGTTTGTATGGTGTAGATTGTAGCCTAAATGCATACGTTATAGGTTTATGAATTCTGTGCAGTTCACACAGAAACCTTGGAGTTGTCCACGTATGGCAGTACTCGCTCCTTGTCCACGGGTAAGAGATTGTTTATGTGTCTGGGGAAAAGAAAATAATATTAAAGTGTCTGTAGTCTGTGGATCCCAACTCATTTTGGTTTCATACAAACGCTTACTTGCTGTGGGGTTGTTCAGTGAATAAATATTGCCTTGAGATATTGTTTTTGTGGAGTTGATATAGCCGTGTGGGTGTGTGTGGGTGTGCGTTTGTGTAATGGTCTCCTCTCCGTCAGAGCCACCTTGGGGCTCTTATTGGCTTGCCCCCCCCTGCACTTCCTATTTATGTCCGACCAATCGTGTGGCCCCTCGGGAAGTGTTGGCCACAGCTGGTGAAGTGTTGATTGAAAACAACCCGAAGGCTGATGGCTCAGTTTGTCCCTCAAGAGCACCCTTACCCTCCCTTGATGAGCACCCGAGGGGCAGAGAAACTCATGCACATATTCACACAGACACAGATCTTCAATGGTAATGGGTACAAAGTCTGACAAGAGACTTGTCTTTGTTTTTTTCCTCTTCTCACAGGTTGGAGGCAGTTTCCGTTGGAATTTCAGGACCATGGATGGAGCTCCATCCTGCTCGGAATTGTGAAGATCAAGCACATTTTGGCACTTTCTTGTCCTCTTTTTCAGTGAAAATAATAGAAAAACTCTGAGCATATAGACAGGCTTCTTCCTTTAATGCAAAAGCAGGACTGTTAGCCCGCACAGTGCGATGGTCACATGACTGCAGCATGACCACCAGTCAGCCAATCCACTGCTTCAGCTTGGCTTAGTGACCAATCAGAGACCCCTTTCCACACATGTGCGGCATTTGCCATGAATCTGGCCGTGAAGCTGCGGAGGAACCTGAGGAGGCTGGTTATCCTTCTCGCCACCTTCTGCATGGTCAGTGTCATCATCTCCGCCTACTATCTCTACGCAGGCTCTGCCCAGGAGCTGGACCTGGCGGACCGTGGCATCGGCTCAGATTGCGATGACCTACGGGCGCTCCCTTTTCGGCAAGTCGAGCCACGGACGCCTAAGCCCATGGACCCATCGAGGAAAGACCCCGTGGTTCTGGTGTTTGTGGAGAGCCAGTACTCCCAGCTGGGGCAGGACATCATCGCCATTCTGGAATCTAACCAGTTCCGCTACCACGCTGAGATTGCCCCATGGAAGGGTGACATTCCACCGCTGACCCACAAGGGCCGTGGTCGCTACGCGCTGGTCATCTACGAGAACGTGCTTAAGTATGCTGGGATGGATGCATGGAACCGGGACTTGCTGGACAAGTACTGCGTGGAGTACAGTGTGGGTGTCATCGCCTTCCACCGTGCTAGTGAGAACTCCCAGCCCGCCTTGCACCTCAAGGGCTTTCCGCTTATGCTGCGGACCAACGTAGCACTGCGCGATTGTTGTGTCAACCCTCGCTCACCCCTGCTCTATGTCACAAGAGCAGAGGTGGACCGCGGACAACTTCCAGGGGAAGACTGGACCGTGTTCCAGTCAAACCACTCAACATATGAGCCGGTACTGCTGGCTAAGCCACGGCCTAACTCAGACAATGCTAACAAGCAGAATCAGGCAGGGCTGCATGGGGTCCAGGCTACAGTGGTGCAGGACTTGGGACTCTATGACGGGGTGCAGAGGGTGTTATTCGGGCAAGGCCTGGGCTACTGGCTGCATAGACTCATACTGGTGGACGCCATTGCATACCTCACAGGCAGGAAACTGTCACGGTCGCTGGAGCGCTACATCCTGGTGGACATTGACGATATCTTTGTTGGGAAGAAAGGCACGAGGATGAACGTGGACGATGTGAAGGTACGGGCAAGTTTTAGTGCTTGTGTGTTTATTTTATTGTTTTCATCCATCAGTGTTCTCTTACTGCAGTACCCATTGTGCATTATGCAAATATCCACCCCCCTCTCCTCAGCCAACAGCTATAGAGAAATTTGCTGATGTACAGCTTAGTAGGGGCTAATTAATAACGTTACCTGTCTTACTGCTACTGCATGGAGGCCTTCAAGTGTTCTCCCCAAAGTCGTTTTCTTTTTTCAAAAGTTCTTCCCACCGTCAAGATACATCATCAGTTTTGGTGGTCTTTAAATCAGAAAACACGCAAGACTGTGGCACCACTGTAGGAAGCATGTAGGCGTGTTTACAGCAGATGAAGCAATGGTTACAACTGTAATTTTGGCCAGAGTGCCCCTTTAAATAATAATATACAATATAATATATGAACCACTACACTCACAGAAAAAAAGGTATGAGACTGTCACCAAGGCAGTACCCCTCTTGTCACTGGGGTGGTACCCTCAAGGGTATATCTCAGTACGTTTAGTCAGGGAACATAATTTTACCATAATCCATTGCCGTTATATTTTCTGAGTTGTACTGACTCCACACACCCCGTCTCATCTCCAGGCTTTTTGCTTTACTGTTCTGTTTCAAAACAATAGGCTATGAAAAGGTACCAATATGTACTTTTCACCTGTGACAAACTTATTTAAGGTACACAGTTGGACCTTAAAACCACTGTTGTACCTTTGAGGGAACATGTACATTGTTTGCACCTTGAATGAAAAATGTACGTGCATAGTTCCTTTATTTCTAACAGAGTAGGATAGTTAACTTAAGCTTATACAATAGAGACACAAAGTGAAGGCAGTTATTTTCAGCAGTCAGCAGTAAAATATACCCAGTTTGGGTTCTTATTTTAGAGCATTTGGTTTTGGAAGTCTGTAGCAAGTTACCAAAACTTGACTCACACCGAGTGTCAATTAAACACATTTTAGCTTTCACTGGTGGCACCATGGAATTTTGGAGGCCAAAAAAGATGTTTTCCAGTGAAGAGTCTTGCACACTAACCACCCGTTCACAGCAAGAATATCTCTGACTGATGAGAGCTGATGTTATCACAGTAGAACAGCAGTATTGTGTGTTAATATAACTTTCAATGCTAAAGTTCCTTACATTCAGTCCATCAGCGCCCTTCTGACGCATTCTCTCTGAATCAGAGATTCAGCAGCGTACAAACCCAAAAAAACGTACTTCTGTCATCATCATACCAAGCATTGTCACACGCCAGGGCTTCCACATAAGGACACAGGACATATTTACATGTCCTGGTATGTCAAAGATATTGAATGCACAATTTACAATGTAACCCTAGCAGACTATTGATTGTTCTCAGTCTCACAATTTAATTAGTGTGTAAGGCTAAAGAGCTTGTGGTTTACGGCCCTGGACTTAATATCCACAAAATTCCCTTTGTGGGTGTTTTATTATCCTCTGTATTTATCCTCCAATATTAAAGAGCAGCTCCACCAATTTTCAAAATTTCTTTGTTTCAACTGTTGAGATGTTTAAAAAAGTCGTTCAAAGTGGTTTGATTTGATTTAAATTGTAGTAAAACATACTGACTTGGATTTCTGAACAGTGGTGGTGATAGGAACCAGGGGTTGTGATGCCTGAACACAAAAATAGCCATTTTATTGACTAACCAATATGACCAGTGAACCTATGTGTGCTTTTTATTATACTGATAGTATTAAATTATATTAATAATTAATATAAATATTAACCACTTGTACCTCTCCACCATAAATAGATTTGAAAGAGTGTGTTTTAGACAGGGGTGGAACAGAATTCATTATTTGGTTTGGTGCTGGCTCGATTTGATTTGTTTCAATGTGGCAAATAAGGACTGGCCTAAAATGCGCCACTGAAAAAATTGTTGAAGTACAATATTTCAAACAAAAGCTGTGCTTTACAGTGTCCCGATCTGATGCTCTTGCAACAAGCTAATGTGATAGCTCCAAACTAAGCTGCGCTAGCATTCTTGACATAATACAGTGATTTGATGTAATACAATATGATATGTTTTAATGTTACATTTCTAGTTATAGGTCAGAAACTTATCTGAAAACTATTGTAAATCAGTGTCTCAGACATCAGGCAGCTTCGTTTACATCTTTTTTACATTTTTAGTGGAATTCCTTTTTAAGAGGTACCGCATATCATCTTTTGCATAACATAATTTCAGTGGTATTGCATCAAACTACAAAATGGTATTGTGACATTCCTACTACATACTTAGATCGGTTTAAAAACGCTTGACTCCCTGCTACTACTTGTGTTTGTTCTGATTGTTTTTGTGCATTTAAGGGAGATTATGCAAGGGAGTTGTGTGTGTGTGTTTCCCTGAATTGGAGTGGGTGTTTGAGTTGGCCTGACTGAGTATAAAGAGGCTATTTAGGGGAACAAGAGTAGTTAAATGGTGTTCAGTCACTCTTTCACGCACTCGTTCATTCTCTCGTTTCCCACGTTTACCCCCCTCCATGAGCCTCTTCAGCAGATTGAAAGGTCGCACTCGCTCTATTGTGTGATGACTTCATGACTTGTGGAGCCTTGCTCTGTGTGTGTGTGTGTGTGTGTGTGTGTGTGTGTGTATGTGTGTGTGTTTTAAGAGAATATTGAATTTGGTAGAGATTTAATGTAGCCTATGTTTTCATTCACCCTCTTCATTCACCCATCATCCTATTCATTCAGCTGTAAACTAGAGCTGCACAGTATCATTTGTTAACATGATATTGGCCTTTACAATACTGTTATTGCAGAAGGCTGCAGTATGCAAATAAGTACATCTTTTTTCGGTGTGCTGTGAACTTCCTGACCAATCACAGCTCGCAATGAGTGTTTGTGTCAAGGGCCAACAAAAGTATATTATTTTTGATTAAAATAATACAGGCTAGTCTTTTAGGCTTGAGCCGATTGATTATAATATCAACTGAAGGTGGGCAATATGGTACTATTTTACTATTAGTGTGATGAAGTTTGTTATCGTGATAAACAATACGCTTTACTGAATATACAGGGAACCTTGGCCTTACTTAAACAAGTTTAATTTAAAAGAGAGCATAATTCATTAAAGAGAGCATGTTTTTAATAAAAAACATTGTGCCCAGAGTTATTCCAAACATTTCATTGCTAGTGCATTGTGTCTGTATGTCGAAGTATTGAGATATGTATCATGTATCATGAAATGTATCAAGATATGATATTTTTGCCATATTGCCAACCCCATTGTCAACCAACAGTTGTTTTTGATGATTGCCTCCTTTACGAACCATGAACAGGATTTAAAAGAATTTCATGTTGTGATTACCCAAAAACTACCAAACCATACTAAGAACTACCAAACTACATAGCAAGAACTATCAAACCAACCAAAAACTACCAAACCATACCCAGACAACCAAACAATGCCAAAAACTAAAAAAAAATACCAGGAACTACCAAACCATATAAAGAACTACCAAATCATACCAAGAACTATCAAACCATACCAAAAACTACCAAACCATTCAAAGAACAAACTTAGCTTGCAAGTTTCTGACCAAGCATGTTCATTTTCTCTGGTTCAGGCCCGGCAGGTCGTGTGGTGTTGCCACATAACATGCCATCCTGAATGGTTGACTGGAGAAAGGTAACATGGATATCGATTAAGTAAGAGCAGCCTGCAGTTCGTATTTACAGCTCTTTTTTTTTCCTGTGCGCACCGAAAACACTGCTAGTGGCTGAGTGTGTTTGGCTTGACAGACGTGAATGAAAGGACAAAGGAAAAATGAATTTGTTCTTTTAATGATATCGTTAAAGACCAAAAAAAAAAAGAAGCACTGGAAATGTACGTAAACACAAACACAGCCTGCACCGAGCTCTTTGTCTCTCTTTAGAAAGGAAGAGTGTGAATTCTGTTTGCAGACAGATTGCTCTCCAGATGTTGTACTTACTGCTGAAAGCTTTATAGGAGTTACTGTTTATAGGAGAACACAAGTACCCACTACAAGCAGTCAGGTTTGTTCTTTTCATTCACTTAAGACTACAATGAGAACAAGAAGCAAAGCTTAACTGTACATAATCTCTAACCTTTAGAAGGCTACACTCGTAAAGAAGACGCTTCTTTAAGGGTTCTTTAGTAAAGGCAGTAGTTCTATATAGAACGTTTTTGAAAGTGGTTGCATATAGCACCAAAAAGGGTCCTGCTATTGTAATAATGTCAAGTTTGTGACAATAGAAAAACCCTTTTTTGGTGCTATATAGAACCATATACAACACATTCTCGATCAATCTGAAGAACCATTTCACCATGCAGTGGTTCTTTGAGTGTTAATGGTTCTATTAGAGCCATTGTTTTTACTAAAAAAAAAACTTGAAGAGCCATCTTTTTAAAAGTGTAGAGTTTTTTTGCTATGCAATTGATTTTTTTTTAAATATAATTTTAAAATGCAAATTTGTATTTACATAGTTGGCTACATGATGGGTTTCATTTACATTCGATTTATGTCACATGTTTATTCATTAATTACATAATTTACTCAGATTTATTCAAATCATCATTAAATGTTCTCCTTCTCTACTAACAAATACAAATGTGGAATCAACTGGAAGTTTAGAATCCACACTTTTGACAGAATTTCTTAGCTTGTTTCACTGAGCTAGCTCTAACTCACATATGTCAGGTTCCAGTCCTTGCGGGCCAAAACACTGCAAACTTCAGCACACTGCCTCAATAAACATACCTGATTCAGCTCATCAGCTAATTAACAAGGCCTTCATTAACTGAGTTCAGAGCGTTAGATGAGGGTAAACGCTGATCTCTGCAGTACTGTGGCCCGGAAGGTCCCCAGTTTGACATGCCTGCTCTAACTGATACGTTGCTTGTCTTCTTCCTGGGTATCCACTATCAACAGTTTGTTCTTTTCAGTTCATAAGACTGCAACAGGAACAAGAGGTAAACGTTATATATAATAAAGCAGCTT